AAATACTAATTTTTTTAAATTTCACACTGAATTTTTTGTTGTATATTATTATTATTATTATTATTATTGCTGGTTATTACTATTTTTCTTAAAAACCTTATTTTTTATTTTACAGTGAAATATTAAAATTCAATAGTAATGACAAACAAAATAAGAAATATTACTCTTATAATATCTTTATTTCGTCTATTATTGTTGTTGTTGTAAATCTTATACAGATTTATTATCACATAATGTTTGTCTAAATTGTGCAACCCTTCAAAATAATAATAATAATAATAGTTGTTTTATTATTATTATTCATTTCAAATATTATATTAAAAAATTATATTAATTAATATATTATTACCTTATTATTATTATTAATAATAATAATTACTATTGTTATTATTAAATTTATATAAAAATTCTCAACCTTAAATTTGTGTCTGTGGTTGAAAACGTTCTATCATGGGGATAAAACCAGAATTGACCTTATTTATTTTCTCAGCATGGTATTTCAAAGAAAAACAAATAACTAAGCCTCATAACTAGTTTGCTAAAATTAGCAGCACACGTTCTGTGAAGACACATCGTGGTCTGCAGCTATTCAGTACGAGTGCAAACGTTCAAGGCCGCGATTAGCCCAGGATTTGGCTGAAATGGCTCGCATGGAGAGGGAAAGGGAGAGGCAGAAGGCAAAATAAATGTTTAGAAATTATAATTAAGCGGCTGACATCTCTTTTGGGACATAAATTATTCATGTTTATTTGGAAAGAGAATTTGCATGTGGTGTTGGGGAGAACGGATGCGCCGTGTGTGTATGTGTGTGTGTGTGTGTGTCTCACCGGAGTGAAGTGATTTGTGAACTGACAGATGATGTTCTGATGAACTTTTACAGGCAGAAGGCAAAATAAATGTTTAGAAATTATAATTAAGCGGCTGACATCTCTTTTGGGACATAAATTATTCATGTTTATTTGGAAAGAGAATTTGCATGTGGTGTTGGGGAGAACGGATGCGCCGTGTGTGTGTGTGTGTGTGTGTGTCTCACCGGAGTGAAGTGATTTGTGAACTGACAGATGATGTTCTGATGAACTTTTATCTGAGTGCTGCTCATGATCGCAGTAAATCATTCAGGCCTGTGTGTGTAAAACCAAGCTATTTGATGTGTTATAATGTGTGTATGGAGGTTTTTATATAATCTGCATCACTTCCTGGAACTAAAAATTCACTTCCTGTGCTCTTTCAGAAGATGACGGGCAGTGAAATCAGTCTGGCGTATCTGAACCGGATCAGCAGATGTTCTGTCTGCTGCTGTCAGAACAAACACAGAAATAGATCTGGTGTCACACAGAGTGAAGCACTGTGTTGGTTTAACGTTTGGAAATGAAGAAATTAAAACCATAATATCAATGTTAGAATAAATGTTAGCCATTAATGTTAGTATTGTCATTTTAAAAATGTGATGTAAAATAAAATTATTATTATTTATTATTATTAATAATAGTCATAATAATTGATACATAATCACAATTTTTGGCCAACCCTGTAAAATGATGATTATTATTATTGCTATTTTTCCTTACTTTCTTAATTTTTTCCCCCACTGAAATATTACAATAGTAATTATTATTATTATTATTAAAGTCATACAGATAAATAATCACAATTATTTTAAACTTTTTCTTATACTGTTATATGTTTTTATTTAATAATAAAAATAATAAAAATAATCACAATAAAATAATAATATATGATAATAATACACAAAACAAATGTTTTAATTGTGCAGCCCTACAAACAAGAACAGCAAACCTGGAGCTTTTTTAAATGGCATTTTAAACAGCAATTTTTAACAGAAAAAAGTAGATTTAGCCCTAATGTTGTGTGTGTGTCTGTGGCAGAAAACATGTTCTCCGTGTCATATTGTGACACATACAGAGCTCCTCTGAAGCCACAGACGGTCAGTCAGCTTCTCTGTGTGTGTGTGTGTGTGTGTGTGCTCTGAATACGATCGGTGGACAGAGCCTGATTAAAAATCAACACACACTTGCGAGGTCAGCGTGTGTGTGTGGTTTGTAGGTGAGCCGTCACAGTCGATGGAACAGCTTCATTGGGATGCGCACCTGAAACATGGGCAGGTCGGTGTGTTTTTCATTCAGGAGGAGAGCGAGAGCTCTTCAGTGAGTATGAATCAGTGAGCTTCTACTGCAGCATGGAAGCAGTGAGTTTATTCATCTTCATGTTGTTCCAAACCATAAAAATTGCACATTAATGTATTTCACAAATAACGAACATTAGGATTTACAAGTTCTACCTGATAAAATGTTTTAGAGCTGGCATTACTCAAAAAATGTAGAAACATTTAAAAAAAATTCCATAGCATTTTAAGATCTTATTTATTCACATGCCTTTTCCAGATCTAGAAATCATACTTCCTCATACCAGAGTTATTTTAGTATCAATTAGATATTAGTTTTTATTTATTATAGTTTTATTTTTATGCTTTCTGTTTTAATTTTACATTTTGTTAGTTTTAGCCATTTTAAGTTTTTTTTTTGGTAAAGTTTTGTGTGTTTTTGTCTTTGGCAATATTATTATGTTTGAATATGTCAGTATAGTTTTTGTTGGTTTTTTTCTGTTTTATTTTCAGTTATTTCAGTTCATCAAGTTAAATGTTTCCTTGGAAGCTAGCTGAATTAAAACAAACGTTTTTATATTTTATTTTATTTCAGTTAACATTTATTTTGTTTCAAGTAACAAAAGATATATTTTATGGTTGTAGTTTTAGTTAATAACCCTGCCTCATACTGCATATCCAGGTTTTCTAAGACCATATGAATCCTGGTTCTTCAAAAACAAAAACAGTGTTTGAGGAGGTCAAGTACAATAAGAAATATCTTGGATTGTGATCTAATTTTAATACTTGTTTTGTTTTGTTTTAAATCGTTTCAAGTTTAATTTGTTAATTCATTTTTATATGTTTTTAGTGACACAGTCAGCCAATCAGAAAAGATAACGTGTCATATACAGTTATGAGGAGCAGCATTTTGAGCCAATGAACTGTAACCATGGGCAGAGCTACTCTGCATGATGCTGCAGAAATCCACTTCATTGTTTGTTGAGAGTGAAACTCAGATTTGTATGGCAGAGGAGCTTGTATCACTTGTTGCTATATCGCTTTAAGTCTGTAGTCATAATCAGCTTTATATAAACACAACAGACGCCTGTTCTGCCCTACGACAGCAAAACACAATAGCTATGCTGGCTGTGTGTGTGTGTGTGTGTGTGTGTGTGTGTGTGTGTTCTCTCAGGCAGTGCCACAGGCAGTTCATCATGGAGCTGGTGTTCACAGTCTCATTAGACTCATCTCTCTATGGAAGGAAACAGCCCTCTGTCTCTGTCTCTGTGTCTTTATTGTGTTGTTCAGAGGATATTAGCATCTGCTGCTTTTTACAGCAACAGCTGACAGAGTGTAAAAACTGACAAAGTTTGAAAACTCACCTTCATGCAGTATCAGCACAGTCACAACGTATTCATTACATCACAAATAAAACACAACAAATGAGAACCGAATCAAAATTTGACGGATCTGTTTGTCCATGTGCATAAACTCACAGGTCCGTGTGTGGTTTCTGTGTTGGATTATAGCTATGCATATTCATCTGATGCATAATAATATTATTGTATTATAATAATAATGTTAACACAAGAGAAATCATACAAATGTAATGTTATCTTTTAGCCCTGAATAAGCTATTTCACATAGCATGTGTTTACATATAGTCCACAAGTCAAAATATTCAAATGAGAACCGAATCAAAATTTGACGGATCTGTTTGTCCATGTGTATAAACTCACAGGTCCGTGTGTGGTTTCTGTGTTGGATTATAGCTATGCATATTCATCTGATGCATAATAATATTAATGTATTATAATAATAATGTTAACACAAGAGAAATCATACAAATGTAATGTTATCTTTTAGCCCTGAATAAGCTATTTCACATAGCATGTGTTTACATATAGTCCACAAGTCAAAATATTATCTGGATTTTTAGATATATGATATGATATGATATGATATGATATGATATAATAATGTAATTTAATTTTCAAACTGACAAATAAAGTCATATTTAGTATTTTTTAAATATTTTAATGCATGTACTTTACTTGTTCAGCTGTTTGATTATGCACTGTTATACACACACACACACACACATATATATATATA